ATATGTTTTGTCACGCTTCACCGTGACCCGTCACGTACGTACAAATCCTCACGGAGAAACGTTTTGTATTGTGCTTTCAGCTCTAGATCTCTTTCTCTGATAAGGCAGGTTAAAATACATTTCTGTACCTCGTGATCCACCCGTCCCAACATATCTGACATTTTAAGGGAATGATGCATATGGAAGCGGCTTTCTTTAGGTTAAAATATCTTTTCGGCCTTTCCACTCACAAACTGCCATTCATAGAGTCAGACTGGAAGGTCGTTATTCCGAGGCAAGGGAGACTATAACTGACCTTTCAGTCAATTAACTCCTTTCTCTCAGGAAGAGGGGCGATGGGGTAGCCTAGTGGTTAAAGCGTTGGCTCGTCACGCCGAAGACCCAGGTTCGAATCCCCACATGGGTACAATGTGTAAAACCCATTTCTGGTGTCCCCCGCCGTGATGTTGCTGGAATATTGCTAAAAGCGGCGTAAAACCAAATTCAGTCAGTCAGTCAGTCTCTCAGGAAGATGGATGTCAGTCCCTTTTTTCATACTTGAGTGAGTGAGTGAGTATGGTTTCACGCCGTTTGTAGTAAATATTGATATTCCAGCAATAGCATGGCAGGGGGCACCAGAAATAGGCTTCACACATTGTACCCAAGTGGGGGATCGGACCCGCGTCTTCGGCGTGACAAGCTGATCAAAATTGACCTGCACTGTAAGGTGAAGTAAGGTTTAAAGTTTAGTTCAAGAATACCGCTTTTAACAATGGCAACACGGCACATCTCCAATCTGTGAGCTCAGGGCAGAGTAATACAGTTTTAAACACAGCAGTGTCGAACTTTAGTGAGTCGAACTTGCTGTTGTCTCGAGGCAAAGGTTTAGACTTATTCCTCATTGAAACTTTCTCCGTTTAGTCATTATGCGGTTGTGTCGAATTTCGTTTAACTCGACGTTTTTGCGTTTGTACCTTCAACTTCGACATAACGGTGTTTGTATATACAGACACGTGTCAACGTTAATACTTGGCAACCCTGAAATACCAGCACAAAGCATTATGTGAGCGACTCCCAGAGTCACCCATGAAGATCCGGGCAAGCATTGATCTTCAGTAACCCATGCTTATCGTAAGAGGCGACTAACGGGATCGGGTGGTCAGGCTCGATGACTTGGTTTACACATGTCATCGTATCCCAATTGCGTAGATCGATGCTCATGCTGTTGATCACTGGATTGTCTGATCCAGACGCGATTATTCACAGATCCCCGCCATGTGGCTGGAATATTGATAAGTGCGGCGTAAAACTAAACTTCACCCACTCACTCACTCTTACCACTATTCTTGGCAAACTATTTTTGGAATATGGCAATTGCTGAGTGCGGCGTTAAACAACTACCAAGCCAAGCCAACCCAAGACTCCCAGAGTACAGACACACACCACGGAGGAAACGTGGCACGAGATCTAACGTCCTTAAAACATAGCTACATTGTTTGCTTTTGCATTCAAGTAATGATAATGTGTGTATGAAGTGGTTTTTAGTATGTGTGTGTGTAAGACGATACTCGGCGTGGGGTGGGCGATACCATCAAGCTAGCGTGGCATACAGAGCACCAACAATTGCTCAGTTAGACCACAAGATATAGTCGATTCGATATTTGCAGATTATTAATTACAACATGCAAGTTATGATGACACGGGGCGGTGGGGTAGCCTAGTGGTTAAAGCGTTCGCTCGTCACGCCGAAGACCGGGTTTGCTTCCCCACATGAGCACAACGTGTGAAGGGGCGATGAGGAGCCTAGTGGTTAAAGCGTTCGCTCGTCATGTCGAAGTCGTGGGCTCGATTCCTTAAGTTTATTTCTGATGTTCCAACAATTGCGGGAATATTGCTAAATGCGGCATAAAATCCGACTCACTCACTGATGAGTCAGTACAATATTATATTTTCTACTTTGGCTTTAAGAGTAAAGGGGTCGCCTCGTGGTTACATTGTCAGCACCAAACTTCCTTAAAATCCTGGGTTTGATTCCCAACATGGATACAATGTGTGAACCTAATTAATGGTACCCGCCGCAGGGGGGTAGCTGGGATACTGACAAAAGCGGCATAAAACCATCCTCACTTGCTCTGTGCCTTGTTCAATAAAAGCGCCCGAGTAGTTTAAACTGGAAAACTAGGACTTATGTCAAGTAGCAATACCAACAAACGGCATTCAAGAACCTCAAGCAACTATTTGTACTGTGCATTTCTGGTGTCGCTCGCCGTGATATTGCTGGAATACTGCTAAAAGCGGCGTAAAACTACACTCACTCACTCAAAATGAGTCCCTCTCCCTACCTCCGGCCCCAGAACCCTATATCACCACTTACCCAAAAATAGCACCTGTCTTGATAGCCTGACAATCCTATGTAATCCTAAATTGTCCAATATATTCTCAGAAAGAAAATCAGCTGGGATTCCTTCCATTGTCCAGTAAGCCTCTCTGGCCCAATCACCCGTTATTACCCTGTCACGTCACAGAACACCAGTGTGTCATAAGCGGTGTCTGGGAACACACAAGAGACTCAGTCTCCAAGTTAGCCGTGGACGGGTAATCTTCTTTCCATTGACAATGCCCATTGTCAGGCTCAAGGTAAACCTCTTCATTACTTTGACGGCAACTCTACGTTTCTTTATACGTTCCATCTGGATGATTGATTGGGTATTATGCTACTGTTTCTACAATATTGTATCGAGGAAGTAAGAGCAAGGCAAACACTGTTTAGGTATGCTTCGCTGATGCTTGCCAGTCCGCCTGAACTAAAACATGGTTCGCTGCGTCAAATTTGCACAAAAATATTTGATTCTCCTGTGTAAATATGTTCATATGATTAAACAGTTTGTTTTCCAGATGTAAGCTTAATGGAAATGATAGTCCCTGTGTACTGCCGCTAAAAAACCAAAAGCACCTGCGTATTTTTAGCATAAACATAGAATTTTATAACGTTGTTTACGGATTATGCCATATTAGTGAAATAATATTTGACTGAGTTTATAGCACTGTGATAACATGATTATTGCGCGACTAATTTTAATATTTAAATATCAGTTCTTTTTCTTAATGTTCTGGACATGGAACACTTCACACGGTACTCGATCATGTATTGCGGTAATATTTTCATATTAGTTTAAATTCTTTCAAATCAGAATATTTTATTTATTATTTCAAAAATGAAACCGCTATCTGAGTTCGACATAACCGTAGTGTACTGAAGTTAGAGCACTGAAAATTTAAACAGTGTATTTTCACAGACCCCATATACATTCATTGTAAATAAAACACCCAAAACCCACCCACCTGTCTCACAGTCACTGAACCACATTATTTTCTCTACTGCCTCGCCCCCCCTGCAATGCTAAAGCCTAAATGAAGCAAGTTTATATTTCCTCAGAATTTTCCGTCTCCCTGGGGCTTCTTTTCAATGTAGATGTTACTATCAAAATTATATATATATTCAGAGAATAGGTGTTAGTCTACTACCCGACATGTGTTATCAAGTTATGGGGTGTAAGTTAGTTTGTCGAGTAAGTGTTCTTCAGGAAAACCTATAGGTGATCGTGGAATAGTTCTGAAGTATACATGTTGTTCAAGAGCATTTCCTATTTGTGTTAGTATGGATGTAATACTTTCATACAAATCCTCAACTGTACCTCATAAAAACTGAAAGCACTGTATTGAAATTATATCTGCAAATCAACATTTGAAATAAATATCATCGAGATATGTTCAAATAATATTTTCAACTTCTGGGTACTATAGAAGAAGCTTTCCCCGAGACGATTCCGTGCATTGGTGTACAGTAAGCCATGGTTGTAGCAAGAGGCGACAAACGGCATCGGGTAATCCGTTACTTAGCTGACGCATGCAATCATATCGCAACGTTTTAGATCAATGTCAATCACTGTTGCTACATCCCCGATTACTTACATATTTACATAATGTCGCAAAATATCTGGTATATTGCTGAAAGTGGCGTTTAACGGCAAACCAACAAGATACAAACTCTGAGGCTTGTAATGCTTCAACCGATTCGAAACTCAACGAAAGGACAAATATACAATTGCAGTATTCTAACATCTTCTATTTCGATTTGTTCCTGCGCCCAAACTCATAGTGACAATATTCCAGGTTTGTCCCGACACTCGCGCCATCAGAGCAAAACTTAAACTGAAGTCTCCATGACTGACACATTAAAACAGCAAAATTCATGCCTCAACGACAAACTCACTACGTGATTTGATTTTGATTTAAACATATTTTATTCACAAATGTGAAAGGGATTGGGGACAAGTTATCCAACTTAAAATACCCGCTCCCTAATATTTACATACATATAATTTCAATTATATACATCTTAGGAAAGAATACAGAGAAGAGATAGGAAAGTAAAAGAGAGAAGAGAGGAAGGGACACGACTTATGTGATTACTCAAAACGTTTTGATTGATGAATAAAAGTTTGCACACATTTGAAAATGCATTCATTCTGTTGAATAGTCAGGTCAGGACTTCCAAGTAACATCAGTGACAATGTGATTGGAGAATCACGTTTTACAATATTTTTAAATTTAACATTAATATCTCTCTTTGAACGCTGTACAGTTTACATTCTAATAGGAAGTGATGTACTTTTTCACAAGCATTGTCACAGTAACAAGAAGCAGAATCTTTCATGTTGAAACGATACAGATCATAATTTAACTGACTAGTCATATATCTACGTGATCACAAGGGCTGAAGATAAATAAACTCGCCATTGCTGTCACTAATTAAACCACACACTACAGTACAAATAGCCAAAGCAAACTGACGATTCAGTCCCCATTCCGATCTTGAATCACTGATTCAAACCAAGTGGGACATGTCCCAACGTGGTAGAACTTACACCATATGTTCAGATCACATTTGGTAAAATGTTAACATCACGAAAACATGTTTTTGTTCGTTGTCGCTGTTTAAATAGAACATTCAAACTGACCTGTGTCGTTTCTTTCTGCTAGTCCATCGCGACGCCATTATAGATGTTTGCTACGAGCCTTGATTTATCAGAGTAATCAGCTATTTTTCACCAGATTTATTCCTCGCAATCCGCTCCAGGTAATCACTACTAAAATCTGCGTACAAGCTCTCCGCGGGCCTCCATGACAACACGTGACACGAGCAGACGACAAGATGGACTCGCTTCATTGAGCAGACGTCATGCGAGGGCAGTTCGTCTTAGACAATAGGGTAGGTTCAGAAGGAATGGGCGCTTTGTTGGGTCTGGGTGTTATTTCACGTTAAGGTTAATTACATTTAAGGTTATCGATACAAATCGCATTATCGATTGATAAACATACCACACCCCGATATGTTGACATAATAGTCGTGCTTTAAAAGAAAGAATTTGAGATTGGAGTAACGTTTCGTGAAAAGCATTCTCTGAATGTAATTGCGCGATCGAGTGAGCACACTATCTAGACAACACCCGCTCTAAATTATTGAACAAGCAGATCAGTTGGAGCGAATAATATATTCCTTACAATTTACATTGAAGAACCGGTCTCTCAAAATAGTGAGTATGGTTTTACGCCGCCTTTGGCAATATTTCCAGTAATATCACGACGGCGGGACACCAGAAATGGGCTTCACGTATTGTACCCACATAGGGAATCGAACCCGGACCCCCGGCGTGACGAGCGAACGCTTTGACCGTTAACCTACCCCACCACCTCTCATCATACAGAATAACACAACACCTCCTTAACGTGTTATTGCCGTTCTTTCACGACAGTCTGCAGTAGCAATAAGATAAAATAAAGTAGGGGAGACCGGAGTCAATTGTAACACGGGGCAATTGTAACAAGGGCGATTACTCTAAAAGTTTTCGCTCAAGCATAGTGTAGGTGAGTAGACTTATTCCCTGCTGGTACACATCCGGGCGTTTTTCAGCTGCTCGCTCATGGCGAGATACAGTAGATGAAAAATCCTTTTTTACATAACAAAGTAAATTTTTCACAAATCGTTATAAAACGTTCTTAATGCAGTAAATGTTGCTTGGTACGAAATTAACTTTTCAAGTGTAAAATTGAGGTATTACGACTTATTTTGAAGTAGAAATATTTGAGAAGCCCAAAGTTGTTAACATGTGACGTGGCATGAAACATGGCTACTATCATCGGGAGCAATTGTAACACTGTGTTACAACTGTCCCCATGTAATTTCCCCTTATGTTATGATAATGAAGCAAATTGATGTCGGTTTTATGTTAGTTCTTTACTAGTTTCATCATACTAGAACATTTTCAGTGTTATGTTGATAGTATAAGCCCTCGGGTGAAAGTTTTTAGTGTTAGCCTTTATATTATATTTTGTGCATACGAAAACAAGAATTTTAAACTAAACACATTTTAAATGTCGATGGTGACAAAGGTTTAATGTTAATCCATTTCCACCTCAATTAATCAAGGTAACATCTTTCCACATTTCATTTTGATTTTATTTGGAAAATAAACAGATTCTTACATTCGAACCTTCTTTGTTACAATTGCCCCATCCACCTGTTACAATTGCCCCGTGCTCGGGGTCAATTGTAACACTTGTAGTCATTGCATTTGATACGTAATAACTTTGTAATGACATGATCGTGAACTTGAAATGACTCCGAGGTTTAAAGCCAAGAAGCCAATGCTTTAGTTAGTACCGATAAACTTTGTGAGCGGTCGACTAGTATCGAATTACATGAACTTAAATAAAAAGTGTTACAATTGACCCCGGTCTCCCCTACTTCAAATGGTATTGAAATTTAAGCACTAAATACACCTTTACAATCGATCAGTAAGCACTCCCTTGCTCGGGAAATAACCAAATGTTGGAATTATGTCAAATACCTCATTACATTTTCCCACTATCTTGAAATAATGACATATAATACCAGCAACAACAATAATAATGCATCATTTTAACAAAATTACATCTATAGTTGATTCAATAACTGATACTACCAATGATAATGAGGGAGTGACTGTGACTGAGTTTGGTTTTACGCCGCTTTTAGCAATATTCCAGCAACATCACGACGGGGGGACACCGGAAATGGGCTTCACACATTGTACCCATGTAGGGAATCGAACCCGGGTCTTCGGCATGAACAGCGAACCCTTTAACCACTAGGCCATCCCAGGGCCCTGTGTTTCTGATAAAGCAACAGTAATACTTACGATGATAATGATAATGATGATGATGATGATACCATATATGATGAAAACAAAGATCGAATCAGACTAGACAACTTAGAATAATCTTTTATTGTGAAGCCTTATAAAGTGTAACAATACGACGAATTTGACGAACGGCAACATCAACAACACGGTACATCGCCGGAGGCACACCCTCACCTTTACAGGCGGATTTGAAAATATTCACATTCACACATGATCGGTCTGCCGATGTTGTCACGGGAAGATTGTGCCCGTCGCCCGCCTGGAAGCCGGCAGAGCCAGGTATACCCACCCACTGTACAGTCTGCGTGACTGTACAGAGATCTCCACGTTAATCTGTACAAGATCGTACACGTGTCTTTGCCGCATGTATAACCTCTGTCCCAGTTTTGATTGATTTATAAGCTCCAGCGATAATCACTAGGAAGCCATTTGTCTTTTTTTCAGTTATCGTAGGGTGAGGTGAAGTGAAATTGGGTTTTAACGTCGTGCTTGAGAATATTTCGCTCATATGACGACGTGCATGCGTGTGTATGTGTATGTGCGGCTGCTTGTACTAGCCCAGACTGAAGCTGGTTTTATAGTGCTAGCCCACTGAGATACCATGCCGCAGTGAAGCATGAATACCCCACTCAGACACATTATACTGACTCCGAGCCGACCAGTCCTTGTTGTACCCATTAATGCCGAGCGCCAGGCAGGGACCAACAAGTACCATATTTTAACGTCTTTTGGTATGACGCGGCCGGGGATCGAACCCGCTACCTTCCGCTCTCCGGGCGGACGCTCTAACCACTACACCACGAAGGCGGTCTAGTTATCGTGGGCCTGTCAGACGTCACAGATCTGGAGTGCCCACTCTGTATGGCGAATTGCTTGGCCACCATGGCCCGATTAAGTATAGAAAGTGAGATGAGTGAGTTTTGTTTTACGCCGCTTTATCAATATTCCAGAAATATCACGGCGGGAGACACCAAAAATGAACGTCACACATTGTGCCCATGTGGGGAATCGAACCCGGGTCTTCAGTGTGACGAGCGGACGCTTTAACCATTAGGCCACCCCACCGCCCCTAAGTATAGAAAGAAGAGGACAGAAAATCACCTTTGCATGTACGCTCTTGCTGACAAAAACGTAACAGAAACGAATTATTTATAATTGATACTTTCACGAATAAAAATATTAGCCCAACCGTTACTATAACACATGCACACACAAAAACGTGCAGTGCGTTGTAACGGGAACTACAGTTCCTATGACGGGGACATTCCCAGGTGTGAATTAACAGACGTCACTTCACTTGAATATTGCATGTAGTGACAGTGACTAATTGATGTCTATATACTCGAGTCTATTTTCTTCCGACAACTTGAATGGACATGTTTACTTCACACTGACAAATCGTCGCGAACAATCGTCCTGTCGAGAGTGGTGAAGCGAGTTACACTCGGTGCAGACAATGTGTAGGCGGCATATTTTATGAGTGATATCTGATAGTCTTGCTGAATACTGAATATACTATCCTGACAACGACAAGGAGCTACAACACAATGTCACAAAGTCGAGTTAGCTCGATACATCGTTCAAAACGATATGTTGTTGCATCAGATATTTTGAGGGCAACCTAAGCGGGCGCGCAACTTATGATTTTTGAAACAGATAAAAAGTGAATTATTTTAACTTAATGAGAGTTATTTTGAATTATAATTCGTCGAGGTTCAAGATACGTTCTTATATCCGTTCCTAGAGACATTAATTTGTCGTAATTAGAATTTCGAGTCATGGACAATGTATTCATTACAACTCTTCTTCTCAACAACCTACCAGCTTGCGTGTCCAACTCCCCTAATCTATTTCACTTGATGTTTTGACAGCACACATGTGCTGTGCCATCTTTTTCTCGAGCTGCCCGATGCACGTGCAACTTCCGTCAATCTACGCACGTTTAGCACGTGAAAGTATTTAATTTACTGCTGCTATTGTGCTACATTTGATGTGTGGTGTGGTTTGTTGTTTAACGCCCCCCCTCAGCAATATTCCAGTTGTATAACGAGTAAATAATCGAGTCTGGGCCAGACAATCCAATGACTGACATCGTGAGCATTTTATTTGTGGATCAATTTGGTTGTAAGAATATACCACAGGAATAAACCCGTAAATTGCTTTGCATAAACTGGTACTTTAACTATGTTAAAATGTAAGAACATAACATTTATGTTTTACCATTACAAAATGATTCACAGAAACAACAGCTGTTAACAGCAGACTACGGAACAACCCCACAGAATGGGGTGGTGTAACAACTGACAATGTCACTATGCGCTGTGACAACCATTTGCGTTGATGCAGGCAGCGTGCTACCTGACGACATCAACGTGAAGGCTGTTGCTCGAGATGACCAAAGATTGGCTAAGCTGAAAAAAGCGTTACCATCTGTTTCCTGTCGTAGGCGTCGAACCATCTCATAGACGTTCCACTAAGGTCCTTTTGTGCCAATAGATTCCCTAAACCATGATAGTTTCTGGATCTTCTCTCCATGCCTTACTTGTGGATCATTTACGCAGACATAAGCGGACGATAACCTTTCTCATTGGGGTTAATACACAGATTTAATAAAAACACCAAAAATCTCCCCAAGCAACACGGAAGCTCCTCGCGTAGTAGAAAATTGTTCCAGGAAGAAATCACGAATTTGTGGTAAATATAATAATTAAACATACCTGTAATTCTGAAAAAATACCCTCTCTCTAACAAGGCAAAGAACATGACACGACTAACTGACCAAGTAATGCAGGTCAGTGACGAAACGAACGAATGTATAATGTACACGGTTACTGGGTGCGCACCTGACTCTAACGGGTTAAACGGGTAAACCCAGTG